TCTCATTTCATGTAGTTTGAAACTTGCCAGCTTAAGCCAATTTTTCTGCATGAAGCCCGATGTTTTCAGACTACACTCATAATTGTACTGGAGTTGTCTACACGGGTCGGCAAATTAAAAAAACACCCATTTGCATGAACTGCTGTCGGAACACGGCATTTTCCACAATACACCAATGTGTAGGGCTAGTGGCACAACGGAGAACGCAATGGCGAATGCTTGATTCAAGTCGAGTTCATATCCAGAGGTCCAAATACGCTTGCCCTCATTTACAATATTCTTGCTCAACAAACACTGTATCAAAATACATCAGAACTATATACAGAAATATAAAGTTTTTGTATTATACATCAACATATTCCAGGAAATGAAGGGAATTTAGTTTGAATAAATAATACATTTTTTTTGCCACACCTCACATATAAAAATAAATAACTAAATAATCGAAGTTGTGTTATTGGTTGCATGCAAAAAAGTGGAAACTACAAACTAGTATAAAAAGGAACCTCCCAGTCCTAAACAAGAGATGGTCATAGGGACATAAATGCGATGGATAAACTGACATTTTCCCTGATGAATAAGGGGAAGACCTTACCCTGAAAAAAGAGCCATGTGTAACCTTCACTGCTGTCATACTTGGATTTTTCCTCTATCTGTTTTTCTTTTGTAAAATATACTTATTTGTTTGAAAATAAAAAGTGACAAAAGAGGTGTTTGTGCGAGTGTTGGTACCTGCAGCATTGCCATGCTGTCGTCAGTATTTCCTCTCTGTGCTTCCAATTCGGCAGCTTCGACCATGAAGAGGGCCTGAATATCCAGTTCTCTCCATCGTGCACATTCATCAAGTCCCTCCTGTAACACCCAAGCTGCTTCCTCATTGATGTTCTTACCTAGATAATATGAACACATCCCCTTACACACAGTTTCAATATCCAATATCTAACATTCAATGACTTACCTATATGCAGCTAATGAAGTACACAGCTTTTTTTCATTTGTTGGCCATTTGAAGTTGCTAATACTTTGTTTTTCAATAATAATCAGATCTTCTGGTAACACTAGGCCTATATAATTTGTAAGCTTTGTAATGTAAAGAAACAAGGTAAAGTAGTCCTCCATGTGTTTTTAAAGTATACATCCAGTACTAGTTTGCATAGAAGGGAAGATAACTCATTTGTTTTGACATTTATAATCCTTGTGATATTAGTCCAACTGTTTCACCAATACACCGTTCAGAAAAAAAGAAAGAGCAGCACAACACATGATCAGACCTGGGAAAACGTCAGCAGTGCCAGGAATCTGTGCAGCCAAGCTGCGGACCAGAGCCAGGCGGCAGAGCAGCCACAGAGAAACTCCAATTCTCTCACTGGCCTCAACTGCTCTAGGACAGTCTCCATGCAGGAGGTTTGACACACTGCAATCTTTAGAACCCTAAGGACCGGATATTACACAAATAAACACATGCATACACACACCATGTACAATCAATCACCATTCTACTGCCCCAGTGTGGTAATATGTTCATATTTTACATGTAAATAAAAAAAGATGACATTATCATTTTTCAGCTGCTAACACACTCAGTTTCATTTCAGATGCTAACTTTGGTTGTAATGTTGTCATGTCTTGTATTGTTTCCGACACAGTTCACATTACAGAACATGACATATGCTTTTTTTTTTAAACAACTTATTTGATTCTGCAACCAATTCATATAAACCTGCTACCTGTTCAATTCCAGTCCTGGCATGTAGGATCTCAGATGCGGGTTTCGGAGAGCTAGGTATGATTCCTCTCATGATCACAGGACTTGTCTGCAGTAGCACCAAGGCTGAAATTGCCATCTCAGAACTAAAGGATGTTAAAATTGTTAAGATGGTCAGGAAATACAAACATAAGCATGTGAACATACAGCACAGATGTATAAGGCCCCTGTACCTATTTGCAGCATGTCCTTGCTGCAGGTATAGATTGGCCTTTAGAAGATTGGACTCTATTGACAGTTCCAGGTTCTCCATTTCACCACAGGACTGAGGTGTGAGCTGACGGAAAATAGAGTGCAACAAGGAGGATGCTCCTTCTAGTAAAAGGAACTGCAACACATGAGAGGACAGATATGAGTAAGTCAACACAAACAAGTTAGAAACAAGTTGCTACATATTTACAGTAAGGTGCCAAAAATAAAACAATGCTTAAATTACAGTTAGCGGGAAAAAACCCTAATGTAAAGATCTATTGAAAAATCCCAAAGAAGCCTTACCTTTATTCTTTCTGGCGTGAGCTTCTCCTTTTCTACATCAAGGGTCAGCACTTTTGGCTCTTCTGTCTTTAGACAGGAGGCCTCAGTGTCCAATCTGTTCTGTTCATGAGGTTTGGAGTTCACTGGACAACTTGTTATGCTGGCACAAGCTTCTCTTTCAACAGTATCTGAAAGACATTCTCACTGTAAGCATAACCAGCTGTTTGATCCACAGTGACTATTTTAGAATTAAATCAAAATCTGAAACTTATTTGGTTCAATGCAATCCAATCAGAGATGTCACATGATCCAAATAATAAACACAACATTAATAACAGAGAGAAGAAACTCTTGCTTACAGACCTGGCACATGAGAGCCATGTACGGTGTCACTGAGTGCCAGGACTAGTTGAATACGAGCAAGGTTGAATCTGAGGCACAATGTGGATCCATACAGTGATCGGACCGCTGGAGCAAAGTCACAGTTCACAAGTTCCTCCAAAGCCTAACCACAAACCAAAAACCACACAAATGTAATCAACTATATTTATTTGTTAATTTGGCAAATACGTATATTGCTGAAACATGTCAATGGAACAGTTTTTGTCTACAGCTGAAACAGAGTGTACGTATTTATGTGTATACAATATGTGTGTGTATGTTTTTGTCAGTGCATTCATATGAGCAAATTGGCAGGGGGTGGGTCGGGGGGGGGATGAGGCGATTCTATAACTATAAAGCAAGGAATCTCTGTCTGTCTGTTCTTTACATATGGCGAGGACAGCTCATCTGATCTACTTCACACTTGGTGGTTGTAATGCTGGGGACCCAAGGGAGTGCTTGATCAAATTCTGTGCCATTTGAACACATTCACTTCAATATTCAATAAGTTAAATAATAATAAACTCTAATTAAACAAGCAAACAGCACTCTTCTTCTACGGCATCTTGCTATACTTTTAAACTTTTCTCTAATTGGGAATGATGGCTTTAGCAGTGGTCAAAAAGTACGCCTACTCAAAACTGTTGTGAAGTAAAACTATTAACTTTTAATGGCAGAATAATTAATACTACAGAGTAAAAAAATGGCATTCAAATGTCTACTTTAAGTAAAGACTGAAAGCGAGACATTGTCAGTACAATGTACTGTGATGCAACTATTGTATGTTATGGCAGGTGTATTAATGAGCATCCAGGAAAGCGCAGTGTCAAGTGTGAAGTTGATTGTAAGAGCGTATCTCGAGAAAGCTGCAAGCACCAACATCACAGGTCAAGCATTTAGCCGGTTCAGAACACGCATGTTTTAAACTGCACTGCACCAGTCTTATCAAAGTAAAGGAAATTGCACCAACTGTGGCAGCACGGTTATTCCTTTTAGAATGATTTATGTGAACATTCTTTCATCAAAAACAATGTGAGATTTACTTTTAAATCTATAATAAAATACTTCATAGAATTACACTAATGAAATGTCCCCAGATCTTCAGAAATATAAAGAAGTCTTATATACAAAATACCTCAGAATTGTCCAGGAGAGACTTGTTGCTGTAAAACGTCTTTGCAGGCTGCACAATAAGCACAATTTATAATATGTATTAAAATGATGGCATATATAAACACACATAACAAAACTTTAAATCCTGTGCAGAGGCAGCACTAGAAAAGATATTTTGTTTGACAATCTTCCAGAAAGACTGTACACTGTGTCCCACTGATGTTTAAATTAGGTTGGAAGTAACCGGCACACTTATGTATCTCTCCAAGCGGGTGGTAGGCAAACAACCCATGTCTTCACATATTCAATGATAATTTCATATTTACAGTAGGCCTACTACAAAAACAAGGTCAACATTGTAACTAAAACTGTCCATAAAGTACACCACTGCCAACATTACCAGTTTACACAGGCAAAGAGCGGACATATGTGCATTCTTACTTGGAGATTATCTTTGGGGATGTAGTGTCCATGGGGCAGAAGGACCCCTGTGCCTTGTGTGAGCTGAACTGCCTCCTTTACAGCTTCAGTGAACAGACACAGTTCAGTAAGGGCACGAATCTGCAGGAAAAAAACAACCCAATCCAGACTGAAAACTCCACCAGACCCATGACAGGAGAAACATTTACATTTACATATAGAAAACAGCCCCAATACTGACCTTAAGTATTTTGCCCTCAACAGTGCGTTGGACATCTCTGCACACACTTCCCACAAAATGTAGGTAAAGGGCTAGTATGGGCAGTAGCTGAAATTACACACACGTTTCTACAAATCAAATTTTCTTATCTTGAGCCTTGCAGTTAAAAATGAGGACAGACAGGCAATGTTTATGTGTGTACCGTAATGTAGTAGCCTGTGGTGAAAAGCCAGTGGCAGAGGAAGTTAAGGCCGGTTACGGTGGTGCTGAGGTGAACTCTGTGGGGCTCAGAGAAAAGGTCAACTCCAGGGAGCAGTTCATCTCTGATGCTGTGATAGGTGTACTGGAGGTCTGCCTGTGGCTGAGCCAGGGAGCAACACAGCACGCACTAGGGAAGTGGGTCATACACACACACACACACACACACACACACACACGCACACACACACACACAGACACACACACACAAGCATGTCAAAATGAATGCACACAAACACAGACAGTAAAACTGTATTCAGGCATGAGAGCAACAACCTCTCCTGTCATCATTTCATCAATAGTGCATTTAGCAACATAAGTAAAAACCATGTTTGTGAGCAGAGACAGATTAACCTCCCCCTGGAAGTATTACCTTAAAGAGGTGTGCTGACATGAGACAGCACTTGGTCCGCTCGCTGATATCAGCTGTTAAGATGTACCTGTACGTCAAAACACACCCTTCAGGAGCAAGTAGCATTTAGAGCGACATGCTTGAAACGCGCCCGAAAAACACCTCTAATCGATGCTTAACCTCATTTAAACCCACCGTGCAATCTTAGCAGTGAGCCCAGCAGCCTGTAGACATCCCCAAATGCCGACCTCTTTCAGGGTTTGTTGCAGGGAGCCACCCCGAAAGGACACGCCGTCCCATTTCTTTAAAGCACCTGAGCTCTGTAAGGCACAATCAACTGCTTTACTCCAGTGTAAGTGTGCTGCCCTGGGGATATAACACAGGAAGGAATAGAATTATTATAAGAATATGAGGAAAATCATGAAAAGCTCAACTTACAGACTTAATTACACATATACAGGTACAGTACAGGTAAAAGCATAAAATGAAAGGCTGTAGGTTTGCTTCAACAGACACATACACACTCAGCCAACAGATTCTAACCGTGTGTTTCCATCGTAGAACAGTAGGTTTCCCATTTCATGCAGCGCCAGAACTCTGAGGGAGTCGTGATTGTTGGCCTGGAGATGCTCTGAATAAAAGTTGGGTGGAGATGGGGAGAAAAGTAAGACCTTTATGAGCCTGACAGCCTGACACAGACTTCATCCAGATATTCCATTATATTTGTCATGCAGTCTGCTGGTACTCTCTATAACACATCTAACTCGGTGTCCCACTCATTGACAACTTGTCAATACATGCCTTCTTTATGTAAAGTGTGGATTTATGCGGATGTTATAATTATTCTGTGCTCTTACGAATGGAGGTGGAGTATGCAGCGCTGACAGTCGTCATGTGGTCAGGGCTGATAGGGAGCTTGTAGAGAGCATTTGGATTACTGTAGTCCTCCTCGGTCAGGTCGCAAGGTTGGATGCTTGGAACAGGCATAACTAAGGGACTGAAATCAACCAGGATTGCAGAATGGCTGAGACTTCTGTTCTGACAGTGCTTCAACTGTGCCGCAAAGCCTGGGGAGAGACAAAAGACGGTTTCAAAGAGTTGTTGTGTGAGTGTGGTAGTCCAAACAATCAGAGGAGAACTCACAGGGCTTTGTGAATGCAAGAAGTTGCAGCAGTAATGAGCGACTATGCTGGAAGACCTGAAGACAATGTGGCCTTCTCTCAAGAGCTTGACGGTAACAGCTCAGTGTGTCTTCTACATCCAGAGGAACGCACACAAGGGACATGGAGTGCTGCATCTCTGCACCTAAGACAGAGAACATGCACGAAAACATTGTACATGCAAACACTTACAACTGCCTATAAACAATTATTTGTGTGACTGAAATATTTTCACATGATATGACGTGAGGCTGGCTGTTCGAACCTTTAAGGTCAACTGTGTCTCGAGGAGTAGAGTTTGTGAGCGCTGCTTTTATGAGAATGGTCGGTTGCTGTGCAGGGTGAGCTGTACTTCCAATGAGCAGTTGGGAGTCTGCGTAGCTCCTGTAAGTTACCTGAAATATTGAAAAGAGAGCACGATATACTGTATACATACACAATGCATGAGGTAATACAATATCCCTTACTATTTGTTTAAAAAAAAGTATTTGTTTCATTGGCTTGTTTTTTCTTGTTACACTTAGATTTTGACTTTAGTGTACAATGCTTCTAAATGTTTATGTGTGTCGGTATGCGCTACCTCCTTGCCGGTGGCCTTCTTTGTCTTGACATGGTGTGGTTGAGGGAATACAGGTCCTCCAAAACAACTTATCCTTTCAAGCAGCCTCCTCTGAGCATGGACTAGTAGAGGAGTTACGATCAAGGCATAGCGTTCCCTGGGGTAGACATACAGATGCAGGCACAAACACACACACAAAACCATGGGCACAATCTCTGAGTTAAGCCATAAAGAAAGAGTGTGTGCTGTGTTTCATTCCCTTTGACGATGAGAACCTGCCCATAATCTTTACTCATCTCTGTTGAATGTTACTATACAAAAACCTTTTATTATAAAATGTTAGCTGCACTCGTTGTTTAATGACTGCAATATAGTCTGTGCTTAAACAGTTTTTCTCACCGTGTGTACGAGTTGAATACTAAGGCAAAGTGGGCCAGGCTTTCCCATTTGCCACTGTCATGGAGACGCTCCAGAGTGTGCAAAACCAGGGTGCGAACCCAACGCAGGTCCACCTGGGTGCTGTTATCCAGTGGGGCGGAGAAGTGGAGGCTGGACTCAAGTTCCTCCTCAGTCAAGTCTCTGTCATACAAACTCCACAGCTAGTTGGGACAACAATGAAGATGAAAGTCATGAACAGGACTGTGTCGTCTTCACTCTGTAGCTGTAAATGTGTTTCGCTCAGATGACAAGATGCAGACTGAAGTGACAATAGCAATCATTCAGCAACCTCCAGACGTGAAAAGTGAAGCCAGTAGGGAAGAACCTTAAAATTGCAATCTTTCTTATTCCCCGCCATCGGGGGGCAACTCCTCTGATTGCAAAAAGAGAAAATGACTCTACTTCTCACTTGATTTACACCCTCTGTAACATTGTAAACATGAGGTTATGGTCTCAGTCGGATTGGGTGTTGTTCGTGTTTTCTTCTTAGAATTTTTACCCCTTCACTACGTCCACTTCTTATATACAGTCTATGATTGCAACACACTTTGCAATGCTTTTTATACTTTATTAGTAAGGGATATCATTATGTGTGTGTGTGTGTGTACAAGCAGCTACATGTGTGTATAGGTGTATGTGACACTTACCCCAAGTCTGTTCAGCATGTCCATCATTAGGTCAGTAGCCAGCACCAGTAGTGGGGTGAAGGTGGTGTGCAGCTGGTCTGCTGTGATGGAGGAGGGAGGTTCATGCTGAGCAGCTCTCTGTACTAGCACGGTGATTCTGCAGCTTTGGTCCCACACAGTCTGACACACACACTGTAGAACGGTCCAGTGACTGCCACGGTGGGCCAACACCTGGAAAATGTTTAAAATAGATAAATAAAATATAATACCTGGATTCACACTGTGTGGTCACATGTAATGTGACTTGTGTGTAAGTGTATGTCTGTGCGTGCGTGTGTGTGTGTCTGTGTGCAGTACCATGGCCCTTTGGAGATGTAAAGCAGCTTTGGTAAGTGAGTCCAGCAGCAAGGTAGCAGTGCATCTGTGATTCTGAATTCGCTGTTCCACCATTTGAGAGATCTCTCCCTCCTCACAACTCTCTTCTGTGACAGAGTCGTCCACTCTGACTGCTGGAAGAAAAGATTAAGATAAATGATGAAACACAGACCATGAGCCCATTTTTCTTCTGGCTTTTCATAGAGTGTTTCTCACCCTCCTTTTCGTTCCTCTCTTTGTGTGCAACCACATATTCCATAAAACCGCAGTGCGAGGAGTCTCTCTCTGAGACAACCTCATATTTGGAAGATGTCTGTCGCTGTGGGTTCCTCCGCACCAGAACACCAGAGTAGGCCAGAGAGAAAAACAAGGGATTTAACTGCCTGTAACTGAAATGAATACAAACAGAACATATTATTACAGGTATGCACACACAAATGTTTAATAAGCAGAATTATCTATTGCTAGAAAAATAGCTTCTTCTATCTTGTGAGTTCACCTCTGCTGCAGGGCTCCTCCATGCAGCTGGTCCAGGCCCTGGTAAAGCAATGCTAAATGGGCTTCGGCCATGCTGTAGTTGAGTTGAGACTTCCACACACTCTCCCGACAGCACATGCTCCTCAGCTGAAGCAGCTTCTTGTGGCGTTGCACCACAGACGACATCATGGTTAGCAGGTTCTCTACAGCCTTCCTTTCCCTACACACGCGGATAGAAGTCCAGTGCACATGTGGTTATTGGAACAAACACATATAATTGCACACAAACACATACACACATACTGTACCTTTTACTTTTCACTCCCTGGAGCATTCTGTGTGCTATTTTCTGCTTTACTGTCTTCCTTGTGTCATCGTGGGAAGGTGTTTCCTTGTTCTGCTACAAAAAAGTATTTGGGATTAAGGTACATCCGTAATGTAATGTACTTATCGATAGTTTTGATGGGTGTCCACCGTTAGGTACCAAAATTGAGAGCAATTTGCAGAGCATATAGGTAGCAACACAGCAGGTTGAGGCTACCTTACAATATCATAAACCAGAACACATAATGAGATTTTTGTGTATGTATGGGTATTATGTGTTGGGTATTTGTGCACATATTATTTTCACCTGTGGTGGTTCATTTCCTTTCGGAGCCTGAGCACTACTTCTTCTTTTACTCTGACTGTTTCCCTCCAAACATTTTGTGGACATTCCCATCTTCTCGTCTTGTCTGACAAAGATAAAACCATCGACATACTGTCAAGCCTTTATCAGCAGAGGGAAAACAGCTACTATCCGTAATACAGTGCAGTACGATCCATACATAAGTAAGTGGACAGTAATTCATTATTTGATGTATTGACTATACGAGTACTAGTTTGAGATACAATGATTATAAAATGAAAGCTGAACTATTTAGTTTGAGCATTTCTTTGTTTGTATCAGTAAAGAGGTGAATAGTCAAAGCACACCTGCACAAAATGTCAAACATGCTTTGTCCCCACTTTAACACAAGGTCCGGGTGGCCTTCTTCCATGGCTCTCTGGAGAATTAGTGCCGCAAACTCAATAAAATATACCTTGTGTCTGAGCTTCATCACTATAAAAACACACACACAAAACACAGGTGTCAATTATGAAAAGACTAATTATTCATTGAAAACATTATGTAAGTGTGTGCCACTTACCTTTTTGAAAGGCATAATTTAATGTGCTGTTGAAGATCAGATCATACAATACGGTGGGTACCTCACAGCCAATCAGTGGGCATGCAATCTCTACAGGAAGATCATACACAACGTTGAGTTTAGGGGGCGCATCTCAAAAAGGTTGAGAACCAATGTTATAAAAGATAATGCACATGCTACAGTGCAAATTCATGAACACCTTTTCTTGGTGTCAACTTCAAGTGTGAATACAACTCATCTTAACATCAAGTGAGAATTATTTGTTGCCAAATTGTTGAAATAAAACCCACCATGGCATATTTTCAACAAACATGGCTTTAATAACTATTTAAAAAAAACACTGTAAAGTTATCGCTATACTTTGGTTGTTTGTTTTAAACAAACTTGCATTTAAAAAAAAAGTGTGTGTTTCTGTGTTTCTGTGTGCTACCTCTTTCTATGATGAGAGCTGCTTCAGATCCGATTGTTTTCTTGTTCTTCCGGTGCAGTGCTTTCAGCTGAAGACTTATCGTCATTTTACCCTTGATTGCAGCATGATCTCTCTTAGACTACATACACAAACACAACAACACTAGAAAAGTGGAGCAAAATATTCTTAATTTTGCTGTATATTTAAAGTATGAAATATCAAAACATCACATTTGTAAAACACTTTGCAAATATTGGATAATCATAGATTCATTCATGATCTTAAGTCACTCTAAGAGTGAGGCTAAATTATGAAATAAATCTACACTTTTACACTATTCCTTACACCCACAGCTTTAGCGGCAAGTCCACTGATCTGCAGCTGAGCATCGTAGACCTGTTGGAGCAGCCTGCGACCACTGTCCATCACCACAGAAGCCATCTGATGCTCCCTGAGCACACGTAATGCCTGGTCAAGAAGGATGAGACATTATTGCAATTATATGATATATATATATGCCCTTTTTAACATATATGTAAGTATGCCACGTTTTAGCATGCAACCCACACACTACGTTTTCAAGACCACTGACACTTCTACAAACACATAAACAGTTTAAACTAGTTGTGCGTATATGCAGACACACCTTGGAAAGGTAGTAGGTGATGCAGGCTATCATGTGCATAAAGGACTCTGAGGTGTTTCCAATCCATTTTTGTTTGAGAAGACCTGAATTCTCCTCCAAAACCATCAAACATTTCTTTAGCACCTGCATATCAGAACAAAGACACAGTTATGAATTATTTACAGTTTGTATCATGTTATATTGTTAACAGACTAAAGTTGTGGTTTGTAGGACAAAATATGGAGACTTATATGGATGAGGTAATGCATACCTGTATAACAGGGTCGCAAGCGATCTGATGGAATATTAGAGGAGCCAGGAGGCCATAACAGCTGACTACAGCTTGCACTGCAGCGCTACCGTCATTCAACCACATTGCCAGGTCCACGGCCACCAGCATTCGCTCACACTCTGCCAGTCGGGCTTCCTGCATACACACATGTGCAAATATAATGTATTTATATTTATGTTCATTTTAAAGATTTTTTCAAATCAATACAAGCAAATGGTAAGAAACTTTCACAGTGTGATGCTGCTAACAATGATAACTACGAACCGTTAGTGTCATTACATTCAGAAAAAACAATATATCACTGTTGCACACCTCCCTATCCAGATCTTCTTCTTTCTTTCTTTTTTTTACCTGTTCCCAGACAAACGGCCCACTATCACTGAATGAGTCACAATAGAGCGATCCCTGCTGAATGTTGATCTCTGTCTCAATGAAGATGGAAGTGAGGAACAACTGACACAGGTGAGGAGAGGAGCGTTGCAAGGTCTGGACACGCAGCCTTCGACATGGGGAATGGAGATGGAGCAAAAGGAGATTTGCAAATTCAAAGAAAGACAGACTTCTTAACTTGAAGTATGTGGATGTTTCCCTCCTTACCCTGTGATAGCCAGTCTATCCTGTGTGCCCTGGGACCCCGGGTCGGTGTAGGTATAGTGGATCCACAGCTCTCTGCAGGCTCTCTTTGCTACAGCATGCTGCTCTGTTTGAAATGCCACCTGAGGAAGGAGTCAAAAAAGCCCAAACAGTAATTCTGTTATTTCTCTTGCTCTGTGGGCAACAGTGTTAAAGAGACATATCTTCAACACTCGCCAACTCACACCAAAACAATTTGGAGGTAAGAGGAAGAATATGTATTTTTGATTTCATGGTGAACTGTCCCTTTAAGGTATCCATCAGTTTGGCATTGGCCAAAATCCCAACAATGAGAACAACTTTATGAGCCAGGCTCTCCATTCTACCCAAATAAGGCAACGTCTACATATGTGTTAGGGTGAGAGTGTTGGATTAAGGCACTGCTATTTATTTCCCTGGAGTTTTTCAGCACGAGGAAAATCACCTGGACCCAGCATGTGATGAGGGTGGCGGGGTGACAAACTAGTACTTGTTTTTACTAGTGTGTAGTGTACCTGTGCCAAGTGAGCCCACGTGTAAAGCAGTGGTACCGGCAAGGATGCCAGCATTGGGAAAGTTGACCCTCCTATGGTGTTGCCCAGTAGATTGCCCTGGTGGTTGTAGGCTGCTACAGCAAACACATACTTCTGGTTGGGCTCCAGACCCTCCACTCTCAGCACGCACTCACCAGACACTGCTGGTACCTGGAGACATACAAAATCAGACCTAATATTATGGGCACACACCCGATCATACAAGATGACAAAATGTGTTCCACTAGACCTGACACTCTTCTGTGAAAGAGATGAGTTGTACCATATTTCCAGTTCCTTGTAGGCTGCAGTCTCCGAGGCGGACTTTCCGGTTAATGCCCTCAGCTGCACGGCCGCAGAGCTGGTACCAGCACACCTGGAGAGAAGCAAGGAAAAAATAAAGATAAAGAAGCTTTGCTTAATATCTGACACTTGCAGTAAATTAAAATCTCACTTGTCCCTCCAAGTTATAAGGTGCTGGGGAAAAGGTTAAGGAGCGGTCAGTGCGTGAAAGCAGGATAGGGGGAGGCGGTGGGTTTTCTTCTTTGTCCTTCTTCCCTTTATCTTTGTTTTCAGCTGGAGTCTTAGGGGTGGCGGAGATATACAGTTTTCTCTCTTCCACCCCTGCTTTCTCTATCAGGGTGGAGGCCTCCTGGCAAAAAAGCACACAGACAATATTGATTACACTTCACAAAGGCTCGCCTCAATCATTAGTAAAAGGGGCTACATTTGAGTCCTTACACAGTCTGTACATAAATTAAATGTGCCACTGAGGCCTCAAGTAAAAGGTTTGAATTTTAACAGATAAACATACACATGACTGTGGAAGTTTTTTACATTTCATGCGTAGTTGTGACTGTATCTACGAAAGTGTGAATGTTTGTGAATGTGTAACCTCTAGCAGACTCTTGGTTTTGTTGCTGTTATTTGGCTCCATGTTGTTGTGCGCCAGTGAGGCTTTCTGCATCAGAAAAAGAGCTTTGGACACCTTGTTCTTCTTGGTCCGATCCAACAGTTCAGACTCTGTGACTAGACACAACCAACAAAGACACAACCCACACATTCAGACCCATTACTTATGTCTACAATTAGGCATACTTTTTTGAATCAATATCCTTTATGAACATTTACACTGACAGCTAACTATGATTTATTGCTTATTTATTATAATTCAGCAAGCGCTGGATCGGGAAATTTCACCATTTTCATCAATAGATAATTGAGTACAAACTCAATAGGGCAAAAGGCTAATGAATTCTCAAAAATCTCCAATCAGTAAATGTGCCTGTGTGGCAGTGAGTCTGACCTGCATTTAGCTGCAGTAACTTGAGGGAAGCCCTGTGGTGGATGATGTCAAGCTCTAGATGAAGGTGTGTGGCCAGCAGGAACACATGTGAGGACTGAGTGTGTCGAGAGGCTCCGATATCGGATTCTGCCTTAGTTTTGAATTCTTCTTTCCTCTTTTGGCTTATTTCATCTTCTTCATTTCCCTTCTGTGATGATGTCGGAGAAAATAGGGAGGGAGTCGATGGAGGGAGAGGACCAAATCTCTATGCCAATAAGAGAAAAACCCACTGTATTATCTCAATCTACACAATGTCCTGTTAATACTTTTACATGTTTTCATCTTACAATACTGTGTTGAGATCCTAACACAAAGCAACACCTGGCTTAGAATTGTGTAGTAAATAAATGTCGGACGGAAGGTGTTGTATAGGTTAACTGCCTACCTGCATGAAGGCAGAGTCGGTGATTGCTGAGCAATCTTGCGGCAGCAGTGTAGCTACACCCTTTGCCAGAGCCTCAAGACCCCCATCCACCACCTCACACACCCTCTGAAGCAGCTCTGTGCTGGAACTCTGCAAGCACACACAAACACATACATTGAATGAAGCGTTTTAAAAATATATCTATTTCTGAAAAGCCTGAAACAGAATACAGTACACTGGTGGGATATGTTTGATTTGTTATTTTATCACATGTGCATACACTTATAATAATAAATACTTGTAGTATGAAGAACTATCATTTGACGTTACGCATAGACAGACATTTACATACCCCAAGAGAGAAAGACCGTGGCTTCACACCCTCACTGTCTGCTTCACAAGCTCCTAGAAGAAGACAACTTATTGTCACAGCTATGGTGAACGTGATGTGAACGTGATGTGAACGTGGCGTGAACGTGGCGTGAATGTGGCGTGTGTGAGTTTACCCAATACTAGAGTGATATTTTTTACAAAACAACACATGATGAAGTACGAAAGTTGCATGTTTCAGCTGTCGTAAAAACTGAAACAGGGAAAATACAAGATCCTCACCTCGACTTTGATTACGTTCAGCTGCACTCTCTAGCCGTACGGCCAATGTGTGAATCATCTCCGCCGTCATTATGCAGTCAAGAGCTGCCAGGTCACAGGCATAGGCCACCTCACACAGCATAGACAGACACCACAGCCACTGCAAACATGTTACACACACATGAAAAGTCATAAGTAGGACATTTGCATTAAACATACTGTGAAAAATGTCCTAAACTACAAAAAATATATTGAAAAAATGCTATGCTGTAGAGTAGGGCTGTAACGAACGAAATTAGATTTTCACTACACAATTATCGTAGTTAAAAGAATTCACGACAACAGTTATGATATGTGTATTACAAACATGATAGCAGTATTTCATTTTTGATATCACGGTTATTGTCAATACTACCGGTATATCGCAACACCTCTACTGTCGCAGATAAAAGACACTTTATGTTTGTCAATATATTGCTCCTATCAGCCAGAAAGGCAAAGCTTACCTTTTTAAATACATACCTTGTCGTAATCATCTACCTTCTCATGGTAGAGTGTAAACTCTGGGTGTTGTAGCGGATACCTCTGGATCGCCAGCTTCACTTTATCCCACAGAAATAACACAACATCCAAAACCAGATCCTCATCTGGCTGCACCTCCTACACAAACACACACACATACAGTATATAGATATTCTCTCACTGTAATCATGGTCATTGGCAGATCAACCCCAACACAAACGCACATAGAAACTTACAGGAGCAGAGCCACAAACAGACTTGTGCAGGGTGTCTACCAGGTCAATCAACTCATCCCCCATTGAGAATGAAGACTTGTGTCCATCTGGTGGAAACATAAACAACAAAACCACGTTCTAATTTCTGAAATGTGTTGAACACCTTATTAGTACCAAATCAATGCTAGGTTATGAACAAGAAATCTCAAAGTACGTCAGCTAATGTTTGACAGGAAGTAATTTTGGTTAAGATACTCAAATTTGACAGCAGCTTAGCAACAATGTGAAATAATCAATCACAAGTAATCAAGGACAAGAAGGCAGAAGGTTGTTCAAGGATCAATGAAGTCTGGGCAACAGTAATAAATAACTTTGTGGACCGTTTATATGAATCCATTTATAAAGGTTTAGAGGTTTGATGATTTATATGTGGCACAATTCCACCTTTACTACCATCAATCATGTTGTCTTCTCTAGGACGGCTCCTCTGAGAAGACAGCAGACTATTGAACCTGTCAAGTAAAGCAAGCTCCAGCTCGGCCCTCCTGAACGACTGACCCTCCACACCCTGACACAGAGAGACAAATATATTAAACCGAAACTGGAAACATAAGAATACAAAAGTGACAACTGATAGAAATGGAGCATATTCCCCTTCTCTCAGATGCTGGTGTGCTACTTACAGACAGAACCTGCAGCATCTCTCTGGCAAGTTCAGTGAAAGCATCTGGCTGCTTGTACTGAAACAAGATCTTAATAAACCTCGTTGCAGACATGATGGGCACTTTGTTTTCTCCTATCAACACAAGACATTGCATTACTTCAAAAGGATTTCCAGACAAAACAAAACACGCCTCAACAAACGACAAAGTGTTATAAATGTAACCATTTCTGTAACGTGAGAAAAAGGGACTAACCTGCAATTGCTAAATCCATTAGCGTGGATGTTGGTGTCAGCGCACCGAGACTCACGAGAGACTCACTAGTAGTGGCGACTCCTTCACAAACATACAAGCATATTACTCAATACACAAAGGGAGCATTCCTCACCCAATACAAATGTAAGGATTCTAAAACAGAGTCTATTCTGTTACGTGTTTGTGTTACTAACCAGATAAGATACTAATGCCAGCAGACAGGAGTTCCAGGATCACCTCCTGCAGCTCTGGTTCATCCGGCAGCCTTGTCTGCAGCGGGCGTCTGGTGCTGTCCCAAAGTGCTTCCAAGATGCCCAAGAACTGCGCTGGACTGCTGTCAAACAGGCCCATTAGCATGCGCTCTGTTGTAGTACGAGGCCATGGCCCCTACAGAAGATACAGGCAGGCATAGAAGGACACTTAAGGTTGAGATTGAACACTGAATGTGACCACATGGCAGTAAAGGGGATCTTACTACATTGGATATGTCCTTCAAGTTGCCTTTGCTTTTGATTCTGAACATGGGTTTGGGTCTTCCTCTGGCCTCAAACACTGCACGCTTAAATATCATGGCAGCCAGCTGAAGAAAAAAAAAATGTGGATGGACATTATTTGATAAACCAGAGAAAAGCACATCAACACAGACTGTTACCTTGGGCACAAAACATCACAAGAAATCTCTACATTTTCAGAGGGCAACCACCTGTATGTGTCCGTATTCATAAAAACAGTGGTGGCTATCTAGTGAAACAGCTGTCATCTTACACAATGAGAGATGTGATTCTATGAATGCAGTGTCACTATTTGCTTATACGGCATGAGTTGAGAACGAAGAACTGTGGCTTCCCATGCTTGGGTCGTGTAGATTGGACTTCCAATGGCACTTAAACTGATCAGATATGTAGAGGTTTGATATTTGCATGTACCGTGTGTTCTTTGCATCCTTTTGATGTTTGCAGCTGTCACTGAGATGTATGAATGATCTCTCTAATATTCGATCACAGTGAAAGAGTGTATTTCGGTAGGAGGAGTCTCCCACCTTGATAGAGGCTTCTTTGTAAGCTCTCTGAGTCTCTCTGGTGGCAGGAACGTCCTCCTGCTCCTCCAGCTTTGCCAGCTCATTGATCTTTCCGAGGGCTCTCCTGGCAAATTCCTGAAAGCATTTGAAGACTTTAAGAATTTCAGTTTCATAACCTTGTGCTTGTCGGCGTCCGGATGCAGATGACGAGTGTCTTTTACCTCCGCCTGCACAGCAGCCTGGTTATCATAGTAACAGTGGCAAACAGCGCAGTAGAGCGTGACAATCCACGGCAGATACTTCGCAGTCATCAGAGGGACGGACAGCTCGAGACTGATGCTGGCCCACAGAAGGTACTCCAGTGCCTGAACAGGATCATGACAAACACAGTTATATCGACATTATGAAACACACACATTTCTGGTTATTTCATAACCACAATACACCACATGCTCAGCCAATGTGGAGATGAGAGTGAATCACTGAAAACTCACATAATTAGCTCAAACCACATTAACCAGTCAGTTATGGTTTTGTCTGTCACACACCATTCTCACCCTCATCCATTTAGAGTGCATCAGACGTGGCAAAAACAATATTTTGATCCAACTATTATCCATCTCTAAGTACCTGTGCACTACAATTCATGGTCATCAGGTAACGACAGATGGTGTAGATGAGTAATGAACCTGGAAAAGATGAGAAAGGAAAAGAGAAAGAGGTTAGTTCTACAGCAAAATATAAAATACAGTAGAATCTTGTAATTTCTCACTTAATTTGAACCCAAAATCACGTTTGCTTTGTTCAAAGGGTTAATTTAGCGGCTAAGACCCGTGTATGTAGATCCTCACAAACCCACCCTTTTAGGCACATAATATCGTCCTGTACCACACTTTGACAACTTACTTTATTCTTTCAAAATGTTATGACAGACAAAAAGAAAATACTGGTTAAAACCAGTGGTGTATAAAGTACCCAAAAGCCATACTTGAGTAAAAGTAAAGATACCTTACTGGAAAATGACTCCAGTAAAAGTAAAAGTCACCTATTAGAATACTACTTGAGTAAAAGTCTTAAAGTATCCGATATTTATTGTACTTAAGTATCAAAAGTAATTTTCTGATATTAAATGTACTTAAGTATTGAAAGTAAAAGTACAAGTAAATGCTGTTAATAAAAAAGCAAAGAGTCAGAATTTTGAGAATTATGAAGTTTATTCTTTTAAGTGCTGTGGCACCATGACCAAGGACATGGAGCTGTGTTGAAAATAATTGGGTTGGCTGTGATCCATCCAGGAGCAACAATGTTCAACATAATATATTGTACATAAGTATACTTTTGCATCTAATATGAACTTATCATCATAATTCTCCTAAAAGCAATATGACACTATGAAGGAGTTGTAACAGTGCGTTTATAAGTATGCTCATTCCAACTAGAGGATGTAGAGGGCAAATGCATAATATTGTGTTCAGCAAAGAATATCCACTTGATGCATCAGGTCAGTGTTGTGAGAAAGGACGCCTGCCTTGTAAACTCCTATGGGCCTGATTTGAACACAATAGGCAAAGGTTTTGCTCAAGCTGAATCTGCTACCATCATAACTCCATCTGATCATCCACTAAATGACTCAAATATCAAAACATGATCAATACTAAAGCAGCACCGAAAGTAACAACCCAGTCATTACTGGAAACTGAAAAATGTCCTGTTCATCTTCAAAAGACAATTCTACTACATGTAGCTTCTTTACATTCTATTAGAATGTAAAGAAGCTACATTGTATAGAATGTAACTTCTTTACATTCTATTAGAATGTAAAGAAGCTACATTGTATAGAATGATTCTATTGAAGTTATTCCTTTTTTAAATGTTTTAGACGAGTCACTAATCACTTTAAAAGAGTGATTATAGCTGATTTAACTTACAGACATGAGATTGATCTTCTCATGTCACTCTCTTTATACAATGATATAAATTCATCCCCGTTTTATTGATATCTTACGAAAAGTTACTCCTCACTTTTCGTGCGTTTTTCCTGCAAAAGTCCAGCAACATGAGTCTGTTTTCTCTTGTTACATGCATACTGTCTTTTCAAAATAAACTTCCATCTTCACAGGAAACAACTAAGGTTTAGGCGATGAAACTACTTAGTTAGGTTGAGGAAAAGATCGTGGTTTGCGTTAAAATATCTACGGAAGTGGCGTTGCTTAAGTACGGAAGTCACGTCACAAATAAAGCAACATTGGCTTCTCGTTTCACGCACGGCACAAACTGCGGCCTCCTGGAGGAAACACCAGTGTTTGTTTGACCCATCCACCTCTCCTCATCCCACCCGTCCTGTGTGGAATTCTACTCGTGTTGTCGCTCGCTAGCTTTAGCATATAGCATCCTGGGCATCACTGGGAATCTAAACACCGCGGCTTTGAGAGCACTTGTTTTGCGCATTAACGTGATTAACCAATGATTTAACTTGTAAGCTAGGACCACTGATTCACCAAACCTGCTTGCTTGCAGTCTCTGTTCCACCACAGTCCCCGACGCTGGTCTCATGATTCATTTTGTTTCTAAAGATAGATTTGATTTTGTAGCGAGTAACGAAGGTTTCAGGGGAAATGTATCGGAGTAAAAGTATCAGTTTTCTATGCAAAATGTAGTGAAGTAAAAGTAAAAGTCAACAGAAATATAAATAGTAAAGTAAAGTACAGATATCCAAAAAAACGACTTAAGTACTATACACCACTGGTTAAAACTATATAAGTTGTAGTAACACATACCATTATATATTTGCCAGCAGAGGTGCTCATGTTGCTGCAACGCCTGCATCATGATCCTGATGAAGTTCAGCACATGCAGCAGTTTACAGAGTCCCTTCTGGCAGAGGAAGCTGTGCCTTTTCTCCTGCTCAAATATACACAAGGCACAGCCCTGCATCGCACGGATCTGCAGACAAACACGTGCACATATACAACTTACATATACTGTATAGATATATCAGAGTTCAGGAACACAAGCGCACATAGTGCAGTGTACCTTCATGGCAAAGGTGTCTTGGTCTGTATCAAAACCTTCTGGGAAGAAGCAGGCCATGAAGTGGTCCACGTCTGCGATGTCTGTTATTTTCACCGAGTTGAACTGTAGCAGGTGGAGACTGTATCCCTGCCAAAAAGCGAGCTGGTACAACTACAGACAAACAGGAGCAGGAAGACTTAATGACAACTGTGAATGTGTGTTGTGCAGAAAACACCTAGGCCAATTGCTTGCTCCTTTTTGGAGGAGTAAAAAAATGAATTTGCTAATTATGGGAGCAACACAATGATGAATTGTGAGGTGAGTAATGAGGTAAGAAGTTGCAGCCAACATTAAGAGACAAGAGGCTACTAATGTAGAACAAACCAGGCAAATACCAATTAAACAATTTCTCTTTTTCATCCAAGAGTGCCTAAATTCATCACATTATGACACAAATTACCATGAATTATGAATGTGAAGCATTTGGCATCATGACAGGCTAATATGCTAATACGCATAATATGCACAGCAGCCAACACTGACTGTGGTTCCTTTCACCATCCTTATTATATGGATTGTTGTTGATGTTATGAAGCTGGTAAAGTTATTGGCTACAGCTGTGGAAACCAAATATTGGCCAGTATCAACTAACGCTATATGTGAATTACCTTTAGTACAAAGAGAAAATCTGCAATCTGCAACATGCGCTCCTGGTACAACTTGGAAGGCAGTCGTTGTTTGTACTTTTTCCAAATCTCCACCAGGATTTTAATCCTTCAAAATGAAAATCAAATTACAAATAGCATGGTTATTGTAGTAATAGTAATGTTTAAATGTTTGTGTGACCACACTGTCAAGACAACACAAACAATACAGTTGACTCACTATGCATGCAATATGGAATTGACTGAAAAGTTTTTAAAAATGTATAAAAAATGCTCCTTGTAATGTTACATTTGGCCAGTCTCCTTTCTGGTGGAGTTAAATATGACATACTCGAGGAGCAATTACTGTAAAATCATTGTTTTAAAACGGAGGCCCGCAACGCAGGGTAGGAAATTTACATATTTTTTGGGGGCAATTTTTGCCCCCACTGACTGAAATCCAGGGGCATTTTCAAAAAATTGGGGGCACTTTTTGAAACTTGTGAAATAACATTTAACCTTTGTTCAAAATAATAAATATACTTATTTAGGCTTACAATATATGAGCAATTGTCATCAAATGGCAATAATAAGACTATTAGGCAGTAGTCTACAGATTCAAAGTGTTTTCTTAGATTTTTTTAAACAAAAAACAAACATAAATCAGACAATCATATTCAATTTTATTCTTATTTCTTTGTGGTTATTTATTGTTATTACATTTTTTAAACAACTATTAACAATTATTAAGTCAACGATGCCTTGATTACATATACATCAGTCATTGTATGGAATTATTGAGAAAGATATTTTTGTAGCACCTCAAATAATGTGAAATTACCCATTTTTGTCCTGAACATATGCATTAGTCATTGTGTGGAATTTTTGAGAAAAACATTTTTATAGCACCTTAAAAATTTAGGTGTGCCATTTGAAGGTAGAAATTCAGTTCAGAGTTTTTGCTTAGTAAAATATCTTAATTGACTGTCAGTCAGGTATTATTCATTTCCAGCAACCCTCAAATCAAAGAATAAAGACACTTTACGCACAATTTAGGTGTATTTTCCCTTTAACTCACGAGATGCAGGTTGCATGTTTTATACTTAATGTGAATATAATTAATTTAATCTAATTTCCATTATGCAATATGTATAATTTGTTGGCATCTTATTCTGAAAACCGGATGTTCGGCTGAAGAAACCGGATGTTGTCTCACGTTAATCTTTCCGCTAACTTTCAAAGTCCTTCGCTCGCTCCCGATCTGCGCCGTTTGAATGAGTTTACCGTGAATTTCAGCATATAGGTGCACTAACGTGTAAGTGTCTGCTGAGTTGACCGCAGTCTCGCAGTCACAGGTCTGATTAAGAAGCGCTCCATTTATTTATTCGTTTAGAAAGTTCGGGGGCATTTTTTGCCCCTCTCCTAGTGATATCAGGGGCAAAATTATATTTCTTAGGGGCAGTTTTGCCCTTTGCCCTCGTGTATTTCCGACGCTGCCGCAACGTTAGTGACGCAACACTGCGCAGTGCGACGCACCTGCAGTCAAAAGTGAAGCCTGTCCTGCCTGTTTGCTAACTTATGACTAATAAACTAGCTAGCTAGCTAGTTAGCAAACGCTACGTTGGCACCTCACCCTTTAGCACGAGAACTGTTGTCCTGGCTGGTCGAAGAGGCGACTCGTCTCATCAATGTTATAAACGAGTTCATGTCTCGTTCAAAGGCTGAAACGACCGGGTTTCTTTTATCAAGTTTCCCGTAATATGAAGCCGGTAAATCCATTTTTAACCGTCTAACGCTCTTCTGTTAGTTTACCAGACTGCTCCACGGTGCTGGGGGAAAGCACATCACTATGGTGATGACGCTAAACAAACAGAAAGCAAAGTAATGAGCGAGCAATTAGTTGTTTTAAACTAATTTAGTCGTCTGGTTTGAACACACAATAGTCTCACTGAAGATAGCCTGCAAGTAAATACATGTTTAAATTGATTTATGCAATTAAATACATGTTTAACTGGATGCATTCACTGATTGGAGCTTTATATAGTAGCTTAATTAACAGGGACAGACAGCAACTGTAGTTAAACAGGAGTCCCATTTTAAGGAGGAAAATGAATGCCCACCCAGGTTAGGCCTGCATATCCTGCACACACTACACCCAGTTACACAAAATTGTTTAGTTACACAAAAAACAAAAATATTAACAACTTCAAAAAGGGAATAACAGTGTATTGAGGGAGTGGAAGGCACTATAACAATAGTTGCATGATGGTTTAAAACCTCAGAGCTTGCAGATAACTGATTTAATGTGTGTAGTTATGTTAGAGACGACACGACTGGGAGGATGAAGCAGAGACTGAAATAATTTTGGTTGGCACAACTGCTAGACAGTTGGAAAGGAGTCAGGGCTTCATATTTTACATCTGAGCTCATAGCAAAATGACACACGCTTAGAGTGGCATCTAATGCTGTCCCATACAAACTCATCAATTCCCATTCAACCTCACATCCATTCTGCACACAAACCTAAAGCTTCTGGCACTCAGAGCACTGCAGGCTAATGCTCTGGCAGCTATTCCTCAAACAAACACACGCACACAACCATACACACACACACAGATCCAGACAGGGGCATTTCCTGGGTAATGAGTATGGAGGCATCAGCAGTACTCTGAGCCAGTGTCACCTCATGACTGGGAGAAGGGAGAGTTACAGAGGGAGGGAGAGAGAGAGAGAGAGAGATAACCAGTCACAGTTAGAGATGAAACAATGAGGGAGATGGAGGGATAAACAGTTGACATCATTGTTCCAGAAAGATCACCCTGTTGGCAGAGTCACTATGCAAGTGTGCATGGGAACAGAGACAGAGCCTGGGTGGGATGGGAGGGAGAGGCCTATAAATACTGTGCAGGAGAGCACATCAGCACCCATCTCAGACAAAGTCAAACCAAGAGTCCGCCTTTATACCCATCGTTTTTACATCTCATCTTTAATCCCATCATGGATATCCCCATCCAGTATCCGTGGTACCGCCGTGCCTTCCCACATCGACTCTCTGACGTCTCCTTGGCAGAACCTCTCACTGATTGGCCACTAATCTGGCCCTTCCCCTGGTCCTTCCCCTGGATACGTCCTTCATTTATGCGCTGGTTCAACTGGCCCGACAATGGACACAGTGAGGTAATATAAAATTCAACTTTGTCCCTAAAATAATCAAATAGTCTCATGAGAAATACCCACAAGTTGACTAACTGAAAAAATCTCACTAATATCTCTTCTAAAACTACTTGTCATAAAATCAGTATTAATAACTAATGTACTGCATTGTGTAGATTGATGTGACAGGCCATTTGATGCATTTGCATGCAATGAGATCTTTAATATGTGAGATCTGTATCTGAGATCTAAATAATATCTTCTGTTGATGCCAGTCTCTGTATAATTCAGTATGTGCATGAGTCTTGACAACGAGATGACAATAACAAGCTATTGTGTGTTTTCATGCACAGCTGACTCCAGGCTGCAGGCACGCAGCATAATTTGTTTCTAACAGCTGTATTGTCTGTATAGATGCGCATTGAAAAGGATCGCTACGTAATTTTTCTGGATGTGAAGCACTTCTCACCCGAAGAGCTGTCTGTCAATGTCAGTGACGAGTTCATCACAATACACGGCAAACATGAGGGCAAACAGGTCAGAGGCACTATAGAGTTGTGCAGAAATAATCAAACTAAATTAATTTGGTCACATGTCACCCATATACTGACTCTAATTCTGTTTTCAGGACGACCACGGCTTTGTGTCGAGAGAGTTTCTGAGGAAGTACAGGCTTCCTGCTGGCGTGTCAGGTGCTGAGGTCACATCCAGTCTGTCGTTTGATGGTATCCTTACAATCACTGCACCTCGGTCATCTCCCGGCTCAGAGCGCACTATCCCTGTTTCCTGTGAGGACGGAACGCCGAAACAGAAAATGTAGAGCAGAGTCTGACGCTCCTCACACTGCTTTACTACTAACTCCAAGTTTTACCTGTTTTTATATTTAACCTGTTTTGTTGGCAGTTTAGTTGACAGTAGGAAGTAGGCATGCAGGTCTAGTGGTCTAAGAGTGCAAGTGCCTTCTAATAAACTGGTATCTAATTCCTAACTCAGTTTTATTCTGATGTCTCTACAAGACCACCATGCTTTAAAACCAAAGGGTAATATGTTGTTCTCATGTAATAGAGTCTATTTGACACGTTTGGTGTAGTCACAGTGGAGGTGCAGGATAATTAACTAATTTAAGTTAATTTCCCAATCAAAAGCTGACAGAATCCCTCTTTAAACCATATCTCTCGAACAAAACTAATCACACCTCTGTGTATGTAAATGAAAGGTATTTCCTTTTTGCTAAAATGTTTAAGGGAGTTTGAAAAGTGTCCACTGAAGATTACAACACACTAAAATTGTTAAATTGTTGAATCTAAAGTGCATAATACTGTTTGAGTGGGCAAGAGTAAGATGCCAACTGTGCTTTGTTTATTATTTTACTGTTGTCTGTATGTGTGAGGAGGAGGGAGTTCTCTGTGCAGTCATTTTTTGTTTGTTCACTAAAAGAAAGCCACCAAAGGACTTGGACCAGGTGTGTGTGTGTGTGAAGAAGGAGGGTGAATGAGCAGTAGAGAAAGTAGTGGACGAGGGAGAAACTAATGTTGGAGACGGACAGCTTTTATCATTGGGCTCCTTGTCCTCTGGGGAGCATGCCTCTGAGCTGCTAAGGAAAGTGTGAGTGAAAGTATGTGAGAGTGAGTGCATATGTCACAGCCCTATCATTCCCTCATATTGGCTAAAACCCCCTAGCATATTAACACAGAAAAAAACAAATAGAATAAATGTTGAAACTCAATCATCGGACTGCTGTGTGCCCTTTTTTATGTCTGAAGTGTTTCTGTTTTGATAAGAACTTCACATAACAACACACACTACACGTGGGGAGAAAGTTTGACTTAAAACAATTGATATTCTTTCAAAAATAGTTCCAGGTGCCTTATTTCAGTGTCATTTTTAAAGTCCATCATTAAGATTTGATGATTTGTGTTATATTGCATACTGCAAAAGTCACATATATTACAATTAAATATTTCTGCTTGATTGCTGCCATGTGTTTTCGTTTTGTACTTAGTTTTTTATGCAAATGTAAAGATTAGCTTCTTTTGTGATGCACAATTATCAAGCAAAATAAGTAGTGTATTGCGTAAATCAAAATGTATTTGTCTCTTTTAAAAACACAGTATTTAACTTTAACACTTTGACAAATCATTTTAATATGTGACAAACAGATACAAACAGTATGATGGAGTATTACAGAGAATACACAAACACAAGTTAAATATGAAGCGTTAAGCAGCAATGGTCATTTCTTCAGCCGGCGATTTGAAACCTCAGTTATGAAATCTGACAGCAGAATCATATGAGCTGTTCATATCTTCTGAAGTGCAGATTATCAACAGTGTGGATAAGCAAACCTACTTATTGTCATCTATGTTTATAAGGTCATATGATACTCAAGTTATCTTGTAATGTAGTTGACTACATTGTTGTTTTCTTCATTGGTGAAGGCAACATCAGTTACAGTAGAAGTCCCATTTCTGGAAATAAGAGAGGCAGAATTAGGAGAAAGCGTCACATAATGCACACATTTGTTGATGTGTGTGTGTGTGTGTGTGTGCGTGTGTGTGTGTGTGTGTGTGCGTGTGTGTGTGTGTGTGTGTGTGTGTGTGTTCACCTACAGTAGTCTTGACTTCGGTGCTGGCTTGCATGAGAAGATGAATCTCCTCCACTATGCTGCTGGGGAAGTGTCCAATGCGAGCCTCCTGCTCTCCATAATAGGATCCTTGAACCTGCAAACAGATGATATAAAATTGAGCTATTCACTTTTGAGTGGAGAATGTGAGTGCTGCACATGGATACAACACGTCTTCATGACTTCCAACAAAGATACACAAAGGATTTTGCTTAAGAACTGTGTCAAAGCAAAAGCATTTGTTTTCACTTACACTGCCGGCCCAGAAGAGGTTCCCTCTGTCCTTTAGCATTGCATAGACATAGATGAGCTGCCCCTGTCTGATTGGGATGAACCTGCAGTCTCCAGGGTAGTAGTCCTGCAGTGCACGTGCTATCAAGATGGGATCTGTGCAAGAATATAGAGGGAGACTGAGGCATCACATTGAGGACTTTTTCAGTTTATAATATGTGTCATATTTCTATGCAGATTAAAAAGTTCCGCATGCGCGTTATCATTTTGATTTTCTACAGTTCTAAAACGTGGTCACAACATTACCACTAAGCTAAGATGGTGAGTGTGCTACTTACGGCTGCAGTCGGAGTCAGCGCAGAGTTTCTTGTCAGAGAGGTTAGGCATTTGCCTTCCAGCTTCAGAGGTTGGCAGCACAAGCCACAGTGAAAGAACAAGCCAGAGTTTGCCAGGCATGTTTGTATGTGAGCACACCTAGTGATCCAATGGCCTCGTTTTACGCTTGGTGAAGGTCTTGTGGGCTTTTTATTCTCTTTTGTCTGTTTGCCGTCTCTGAGACGGTGGTAAAAGTGATGGCAGTTCCCTTTTCTACTTTCCCTGCCCCCTTAGCTCATACACGAACACACAGAGCTCCTTTCAAACTCTTCAAGCAGGTAAACAGGAAGGGGGATGAGGAGGAGGAGGAGGAGGAGGGCCAGATTAGACAGACCCCTGCTTGTGTCCTGACTTTTCCCTCTTTCCATCTCTCACCCTGTGTCACCCCCACCCTAAGAGTGTAAAATTGAGTAACAACATATTCCTCAGAGTTAATCTGTGTTTTTTCATACCGTGTTCAACCACTAGATGTCAGAGCTTTTTACAGCAGGTACACCAGTGTTGCCATTCTTCCTGCTCTGTCCCACTGTTTGCTCTCTTTACCTTTATAGGAGGTGGAGCCACTGGCTGTATTTACATACTGTATGTTTCAACTGCCAAGGAAACCAGCTCAGCCTCTCTTGTGCAAACACTCCCAAACACACACACACACACACCTACACATTCATACACACACACAGACACACACTCACCAAACAGGAAGACAATACCTGTTTGGTGTGAGTTGGCTGTGAACTATCAGGTAAGACAGACTTAATTTTTGTTCCTTCGAGGTTCTGTTAGTTCTCATAATGTAAACGTGTGATGTTAAAGTAGGAATGACTTAATTATTTTAATGTATTCATTATTTTAAATAGGATGATGGCATAGTTTCATGGTAGTGAGATGTTTTAACAGGTGAGATGGCAGAAGGTGACGTCAGATTTAAAGAGACCGAAACTTCAAAGGGCAATGTTGTGACCAAAATGTAGTTTGATAGACTAAATTGAATAAAATTGTTATAGATATGATCCTGCAGTGACTGGAAATAACATAATGTGGTAGCAGCCTCTTTTTAAGACTTAATTTGGGGGGAAAAAACATAAACAACACAACATCAAGACTTTAAAGACTAAGACTTGATTATTTTAGAGACTGAGCATTCAAGACTTTGACGTATTTGTAGGAAATAGTGTCGCCCAATACCTTTGGAATTCGGGGAGGGGAGCAGAACAAAGATAATAGTGTAGCTGGTATTTCGGTCAGAGTAACAAAAGCACCAGTCAGACAAAAGACCTCTTTAACGGCCATGTGAGATTATATTACTAGAGAACAACTAGTCTTGCACTCATCATACATGTCCTGAATTTCACAATTTCACAATAAAATCTGTTTATAGTGGTTTTCTATGCTATTGATAGACTTTCTTGCCCACAGAGTTATCTCGGAAGAAGAGAAACAAGGATTTCAATGATACTAGCATTAGAGCTATTGGCAGCACAGTGAAGTCCACGTTTGGCAGAGACATACCTGGATTACAAAAGTGAAAAATAAAACCCACTCCGGACCAGATCATCAAGAAACAGAAAACAAAGTTTATGGTGGTCCACCTGCCACCTGTGTGATCAAGCTCTTGACCTGACATGATGCTTTTTTACTGACTCCTGCAAGCCTGCGGCTATCAACAATGTTCACCCCCAGGAAAAACAGTCTCCCGTCCCCCAGCCTGGAGGACTCCTTCTTCCCTCTCTCCTCATCCTCCTCAGTCTCACTCTCCTTTGCTCTCCCCTCATCCACATCCTCTCCTGGCAGTGACAGCGGAGGAGGGATCGAGACGGATCTGATACTAGCTGCAGAGCTGGGACAGGCTTTACTGGAGAAGAATGAGGAGCTGGCAGCCTCTCTGGAGCAGAGAGAGAGGGAGCTGGAGGTAAGGATAAAGCTGCTGTAAACAGTCTTTCTTGTGACTACGCAAACTTTTTAACACTTCTAAAAAATACAGTGAGGTGGAAACAAAAGGAGCACGAAAATGTACCATGAATAAGCTCATGACATTTGAATGATTCTAGTCAATCAATCATTTTACATGTGGAAAGATGTCTGTAAGTAACACTGATCAAGGCTCAATTTATTCCACCTTAGATAATATAAATTACAGTTCTCCCATAATCAACCACTGCTGATAACAAAAACGTGGGATATCAAATCCTATTTAAAAAACAAACAAATATAAAAACAACATAAGATATATTCCACAAGCGATAAAAAAATATAAAAAGAAAAACAAATGGCGAGAATGGGGACATAACAACAACATTGTAAAAAAAATAAACTCATTTACTACTGATGTCATATTCTTACAACCCCACACTTTTATCTCTGCATATCACATATACAGAATAAAACAGAATGTTAATAGCATGGAAAGAAGTTCATGAATTGATGAATGCATTTAGATTAGTATTGTCATTAGTTGTAAAAGTCTGTAAGTAATTTCCTTGTAAGTTCCTTAAATTAATTCATGACACTGCGGCTATGAATCTGTCCCTGACGTTGTGTAAAAATGAAAAGGACTTTTCCACTGAAGACGACTTGACATGTCACTGTAGACAAATAATAAAAATGAATAATCTCTGACTTCCATTTAGCTGCTTCCGTTTCAGGGTCCTGACATGAAAAACTGGGACGCTTGAATAGAACAGAGCCATCGTTAATGATTTTAGTAACACCTGTGCTTTGCCTACCATGACAAGGGAGATTGTCTGACGTGATAAAGGCCTATTCTGCTCTTCTAGAACCAGCGTCACAGATTCTATTCTTGTCTTCTCCAAACGCTTTTGCTACGGACACATTTGTTGAAATGACGTAGTATCCATGTATTTCAATATCTGATATGTCCATGTCTCCTTGAAGCCAGTTAATGTTGCATCTAATGTCTAAGGCTTTACAGCAGGAGAAGCATGTCCTGCACAGGAAGTTGGAGATGAATGAACTGGATTCTGGGCAAAGAGAGGCAGAGCTGACTGCAGATTTAACTGCTTTGAGGGCTGAGCTGAAGCGGTATCACAGCCAGGGGCGCGACCAGCGGAGAGATGACAGTGAACAGCTGACTCAATTAGCCAACCACAACCAACGCTTGGTGGAGCAGCTAGCAGAGGTTAGTTTATACTACTAGTGAAAAGGCAGCCTGAAACCTGCCTTAATGAGCTGCGAACCCATAAAGGAAAACACCACAATATATGTTCATGCTGTTAGAATAAACATAATCAATGTGTATGTATGTGTGTGGTGTCACGTCACAGTCATGCATGAAAAATGCAGAGTAGCAGGTTTGTGGAGTCCCATCTTTGTCTCATTGAACAACAGCATTTCTCAACTTCTCCACCCGCTTAGGCTATAACACTGGAACACTCCCTGAGGACCGAGCTTCGTTCCTTCAGAGAAGAGAGGGAAGAATCATCTTTCAGCCGAAATATCAACTTTACACAATTGGAGAACATTCAAGGAGAGGTATAGCAGTCAAATAAGTGGCTCAGTTTTAATGTGACAGTCTTATGCTATCTTGAATGCTGCAGAATAAGTAGATCATACACAAAAAGCATTACCTTTCGATCATGGCCAACTAGTGTGAAATTATACTGCAATGTGAAAGTAAAGAGAGCTGGTTTTAAGACTTGTGGGGCAAGTCTAAATTAAGTTTCAAGTCCTGTCATAGCAGGTCTCAGGTCCTTGATGGCAAGTCCAAGTCCTGTCTGTATGCTGACAATTAAATCATATGGCATCTGAACATTTAAATTTCAAAGCTGTGTTTGAAATGTCTCAGTTTTGGTCTGCTTGAGTCTGACTTGAGTCTCAAGTCTACGGCTCTGTTGTTAAGAACAAATGGAGATATTAACAGAATATCAAATAAACCCTTAAAGACTTGGGGGCTTAAGTGTCCATATCTCAAAGCATCAAAATCCTTTGTAATTACCTCTTAGTGTTACCTCTGTCATTGCATCATTTATTCAGTACTTTCTCTTTTTCTCTGTACAGAACAGAGTGTTGCTGGAGCGGCTGTCGTACATGGAGGCACAACTAAAAGCTTCACAGGAGGACAGTGATAGACTCCGCCTGGAGAGAGATAGACTGACAGACAGACTGTCAGAGCTACAAACGACACTGAGAGAGAAAGAAGCAGAGGTGAGGATCAAGCGCTGCAAAAGAGTATATTCATCACTAACAGAAGGACAACTAGTTTGAAGTTATGCATCTGTGTGTGTGCCTATCTCTTACTGTGTGTTTGTGTGTGTCTGTACTGTAGATAGAGCAGGAGCAGGGAGTGGTGTTTGAGTTGCGAACCGTGAATCGCTCTCTACAGCAAAAAGGTCTGAACCTGGGAGAAGAGAGCATTCTGGACAGTACACAAACGCAACCTTTGTCTCTGCATAGTGAAATTCAGCAATCACAGGTACACACACACACACACACACACACACACAGACACCCACAAGAGACACAGTAACTGCAGTGACGTCCTTCGTTTGTTGGTTGGAGACTGATACCGACTGGTCTCCAAAATCCCCAACCTCTTTGTACCAAAATGTGCATCTTAAGCACAAACACCTTGTAATAAGGTTCTGATCTTACTGATTTCTCTGTTGTGTTGTTGTGTACATCTCTCTTGCTAACCAGGTAAAAGAGGCTCTTCTAGCTCACTCCACAGTCCTGCAAGTAAGAGATGAAAAGATACAAGCGCTCACAGAGGAGGTCTGTTGAACTGTATAGAACAACACATACACTTTTTTACTTGTTGATTGACCAAAAATACAAGTTTGTATCCTGAAAATGAGCTTATGTCTCCTTTAAATTCTATAAAGCTAGAGATGATGGAAATCTGAGTGTATGACAATATGTGACAATATATATGCCTTTCGATTTCACACTTTGCAGCTGCAATCTCAAAAAGAAGAGCTGGAGTCTTTGTGGCAGGAAATCAAGCCATTTAGAAGCAGTCCTGAAAATCCAAGCTACAGGTAATGCTATACAACAGCACCATTCTCATTTAATTTGAGCCCACAGCGGTATATGTTTTGCTAATCATCATATCAATGTGCAGTTCCTTGGAGAGTGAATTGGCCACTGTGCTTCAGGAGAAAGAATCACTTACTCAGCAGCTTCTCAACACGATCAAACACAAAGTGGCGCTGTCGCAAGAGCTGGAGGTCTGGCAGGTGAGTCCGAGTGCAGGGATGGATAATTCTAAATGGTGTCTCTGCCAACACGTTTTACAAGCGGAATATTGTTTTTCTATCATCTTGTTGCAGGAGGACATGCGGCTAGTGATCAATGATCAGGTGCGGCAAAAGGAGGAGGACAGACAGAGGGAAAGAGCCAGAGAAAGGCAGACAGAAAGAGCAGGAGGACTCCAAAGAAGCAAGTCTTTGAGAATGAAGGGAGAAGGAGGGAAAGGATTCTTCTCCTTTTTCAAAGACAAATGACAGAGAGAAGTGGCAGCAGTTCAATCGGACAGAGTATCAGCCGTTATCTTTGCCACCGCGAGCGTCTGCAGCAAGATAATGTAGACTGTAATGTGTTATTAACATCACCAAGTGAAAAGTTTACAGACCTCATATTTTATTATGTTTGTATATATGTATGTACAGTGCATCTGTTATTTCAGAATTCAGGATTTTGTATTAAAATTGTATAAACCAATAAGTCTCTATTGAGTGTTTTATATTCTGATGTTGTTTGTCACCACAGCATCTTACGGCTGCATTTTTTTATATTTTCTTGGTCTCTCTGAATGTGAGTTCAGTCAGAACATGAAGACAAAGAGGCGGTGCATTCACCTGCATACAAAGTTAATGGAAAGACACGATCAGACGCAAAAATGAATTCTGGGGCTTAATGAATCTGCTTTTTAAACATGGAAGGGAGAGGAAAAATGAGTGCGACCGGAGGAAAATAACAGACAGATCCACCGTTTCTGGTGAGTTCTTGGTTCAGTCAGAGGCTAAACTGAACTCAGACACACAGGAAAACTCTCAGGCATTGTTGATGCGTCCTTCTCTAGCTAGCTTACAGGGAACATATTACAGCTATTTAAAGATCCAGCAGACATGAACAAACATTAACATTAATTTAGAGTTTTTGGATTTATTAGGCGTCTTCTGGACACCCAATAAATGTCCAATAATCATTCTACTTTTAGATTTGTTTTGGTTTCTAACAATTGCTGTGAAAAATGTCTGGCTCTATCTTTCGCTGAATGCTAAACTATGTACGTATAACCAAAACAATGAGGTAAAAGAGGCTAAAAAGCACCTTAGTGCTGAGGGTACATTCATTTTCTGTTGGTTTGTCACTACGAGAGACCACCTTCATATTATATGTAGACATTTGACCAATGGTTAACACTAAAATATTGATTAACGGAGCTTTACAACAAAATGTTTCTATATCTACAGAGCTGCAATGCATTTCATATTAATACGGAAGAAAAACACTGTGATAAAAAACATTTCTTTAATAAATTAAGTCCAAAAAGACACTCCCTTCCACTTGTCTCTCTGCTCACATTAAATAATGTATAAATAATATGTATGCAACATTTCATAAGTTAAACAGAACTGGAAATACCCAGAAGCAGCGTGAGTAGTGCAGGTTGCATACAGATCAGTGTTTCCACGGGCCTTCATCTATATTCATACAGTACAGTCCTGGCTCAGCAGAGTCGGGGCATAGCCACTCTTACATGCCTCCGCTGGAGGCTACAATATGGAGCAGCACCTCTTCTCACGGTGCTGTTTGTTCACGTGCGGTGTCTCGCACAGTTTTATAAGCTGGCAAAAACAAGATGTGCACACAATCACTTACTCATACACACGGTTTTAAAAGATCACTCTGGCATTTGAGCAGAATTTTATCCGTGTCACATTTCTGCCGACCACTTCTTTTTTAAATAAAAAGGTAAGCCAATAGTGGAAAATGGGGAAAGAATAATGTGAATTTGGTCATTGGTACTGCTTATCCTAAATAGGTTTCCTGTTTCTACAAGTGGTCAGCAGAAAGGTCAGTTATACAAGAACTATAGCTAATGGGGTGAAATATGAGAAAGACAATTATCTTTCAATATAATCTATAATCATTACATTTCTTTATGACTACTTACAGTATAAAATCTTTCGTTATTTTCAGTTTACAGGACGCCGCTGATCCCTTTGTCTGTTGTCTAGGTTGGTTTCAGGAGGACAGAAACACATCTGTTTGGTCCAATCAGACAACAGCACCTCCATTTTGAGAGGTAGGTTTCAAGCCCCAACTTTCAGCTTCAACACCCAAACAATCCACGATACTCAGGTGGTTCAAGTGTTTTACCCTGGAAGATAGGGCCACTATGATGCCTCTGAAACAGGTCTCTGGATTGATGTCTGTCCCTCCAGCAGACGTTAGTGGACGATTATCCCACGTTGATGCCTAGGCCGACTTGCAGCTTGTCACCTCTGTGATTGACAAAGGCACCCATAATCAGGGTGGCAGGGAGCGGGGTCAGACGCTTCTCCAACATGCCTCCTATTATGCACCGACTGTTGATCATACCTGCATACACACACACACACACACACACACACACACACACACACACACACACA